TATATATATATATATATATATATAAAAAACAAAAAGTACCGATAAGAATACCGTTCAAGTACCGGATCGATAAGCAGTATCGGTAAGAGTAGTAATACCGTTAAAACCTTAACGATACCTATCCCTATTCACAATTTATTATTTACATCTTTTTTTTAATCGTATTTTACGATATTTTATTAAACTAAGCATAATTTTTAATGTTATCAAAAGTAAGCATGGCAGATATTTAACAAGATATAAACATATTTAACAACATTATTTCAGAATGGCGACGTATGTATTTCCATACTTCACCCGCCAGTGGACGATCCCCAGAGTGGAGAACTGCCGTCAGAGAGGTGGAACCCTACACAGAATGTCAGGTACATCCAAATTATCTCATAAAATTAAACAGCAATGTTCTACATATTCTTAATCCAATGTCAAATAGCAGTATATTGTGCAGTTTGCTTTGTGATTCTTTGCACAATGCCTTTTCTTGTCGGTTACGCCTCAACAGTTTGAGATCAATAAGCCAAACAGTTGTAATTAGTTTAATTTAATCAGCTGATATCTGCATCCCTTTCAGAACGATCTTATTGAGTGTTATCTCCCTGCTGAATGAGCCCAACACCTTCTCGCCTGCCAATGTGGACGCCTCCGTCATGTACCGCAAATGGAGGGACAGTAAGGGGAAAGACCGCGAGTATGCGGAGATCATCAGGTTCGAGAAACCCTTTTTATCCATTTACGCTCACATCTTTTACTAGGGTTGGGCCAATAGACGATGCCATCATCCATCGCCGATGGCTGACAGACATTGATGTTGAGCCGACTGTGCAAAAAACACCAATCGAATAATAGGCTAGATGTTTTATACGAGCTAAACGAAGCATACAAAAACGGCAACAAAATTCAAAATAATTTGAATAATAAATATATTACATTAAAATGAAAATAGCCTAATAATAATTCAGTTTAATGTTTTAATCATCTGACGTCTCGCGCACAGCTGCGTCCGCACAGCTTTTAAAGTATACTCCTTGGCGGACGAGCTCGACACATGCACAGTATCACCTCTTTGACTCGCTCTGATCAACATTCACCTCGCGCACGCACTTCTGAGGATTTTTCAAATCATGTATATGTATCGGCTTTAATGCACTTATCAAAAAGTATTCAAAATCTATCATTTAACTTACAATCTGTGAAGGAGTGGAAACATTTTCAAATACTCCATTTAAAGTGAAAGAACTTTTACATAAACAAGTTTATAAATACACAAAAGCTGCGTCCCAAATGATGCACTATACACTATGCACTATGTACTTAAGCACGATTTACTCAACCATGTAGTGTATGAATTCTATAAGGTTATTTTGACATTCGGAGTCTGATAGCTCCTCCCCCTTCGCTACGTAATTAAAGCTGCGACAGTTGAGTGCATGAAGTGTCCAATCCACACTTCGTTTTTTCGGTTAAGTGCATCATCCGGGTATTTAAAGGGCACTTTTTATTTTTATGTTCAGTGTGAACGCACTACTCGCACTATTTATACTACAAAACGTCATAGAATAGTGCATAAGTACACGATTTGGGACGCACCTAAATTCTGTAATTTTCTGTCAAATACTGTCACTAGCCGGGTTTCCATCCAAAGTGCGAATTTAACTTGTGTGCAAAATTGGTCCCAAAATATTGCATAAAACATTTGCGAATAAGCACCGTTTCTATCCAACAAGTCAAAGAGAACAAAATCTTCACTTCCTGATAAACTGGCACTAAATATCACTAAGAAAAGTAGGAGAAACCACTGAATATAATAATTTTTATATTTAATTACTTAAATATGAGACGAAAGCAGACGAAACACAATAAATGCGATCATTGCTTTTGGAGGTGAATGCTGCTGTTTGGGAACGCAGTAATGTAAGGCTGGCTGCACAATAGATGATTTTCAAATCTTAAACGATTTTAAAACCATGGGAGACCACAGACATGAAGACACGATTTTTAGCCTTATAATCCTCTGAAAGCACACACTAGACAATTCGAGCAGACCGCGAGACCACACACATGATGATTGTAGGAACGATTTCACAGTGACACGTGATCTCACAGAGACTCGCGAGATCAAATGTGACTAGAGAAGAAAAACAAATGGAGGACAATCGATGTTGTCAGCTGGCTCTCCTGGCGCATGTTCTGTTTCACAGAGAAAAACAAAGAATAAAAAAGAATATGGGTGATGTTCTCTGCTTTCATGGCATGTTTGTGGCTGCCAAGTTTCAGCTATAGAAGCACGCAACATCCGGTAGGTGCCACTTGCTCGCTCTCATTGGCTATCGCGGGTATCATGTCAGAGGCAGCCCGATCAAGAGTCGTAAATATCAAACAAGTTTAATCGTAATGACACCATACAATAGAGGATTTTTTGGACAAAAAATCACTTGCGACAAGCCTCAAATCAGGCCACACTCCCTGATCATTCTGGAGTGCAAATCGGGCTTAAAATCGGCCTTAAAATCTTCTAGTGTGCCGCTGGCTTAAGACTGTTCTGAGAGGCAATAATATAGAAATACTTTGCGTAGAGACTTTGCCCGGGCATTTAGGAATGACCATAACAACATTTCAGATGCTGTGCAATGACATCGGTCCGCTGTTTAGTCAGGTTATGCCATCCCATAACGCAGTCACATGACTTTTTTTGATGCACATGGAAGAATTTATTTGGCAAATGTGTTTCTGTCTCCCGTTATTTGCATTAACCCTTTTTCACACAAGTCAAAATCCTCAAGCAAGTGTAAACTTTTTTTTTGTGAATTAAGAGATTTTTTTTTATTCTCGAAATTTTGAGTTTCCATCACTTTCTGATGCGATGCGTCAAAATGCGTATAAAAACAGGGTGACTGAAACAGCTACTGTTTGGTTGTAGTAACAGCCACAGATGTAGCAGAAAAAGTCTGGGTCATGTTTGCATTGTCTTCTGACACTGACTATCACTCTAACCTTGAAATCAGGATTAGGCATGAAATAATGTCTTCAGAATCATTCATACATGTGAAAATTGTCTATGAATTGAGCTAATAGTTGTAATCTGGCTCAGAGGAAAACAGAAATCATGTCTTTGTGGCAGTTCTCTGATAATTAAGTAATACTACAAGACCACTTCACCTTACAAATGGTTATTAAAAGCAAAAATGTTACAAAATGCACATTTTATGAATAAGTGGAACTGGAATTATGAATATTTTTGGAATTGGCACCCCAAAATTTGAATGAAACAAGTATTATACAGATTTCATTCGGTGAATACGATGTACGAGTTATGCATGTGAATATACAAATACATCTAAACCTATGCATGTATAGTATTTGTGTTGCATTTTGTGCGTTTGTAATCAATTGCATGGTTTGGTCCTGTTCACAGGAAGCAGGTTCTAGCCACCAAAGCCGACGCAGAGCGGGACGGGGTCAAGGTGCCCACCACGCTGGCCGAATACTGCGTCCGTACCCGCGCCCCACCTGCCGACGAGGGATCCACCTTATTCTATGACGACTACTATGATGATGAGGAGTTAGATGATGATGAAGAGGAGGGTGAGGACTGTTGCTATGATGAAGATGACTCTGGGACAGAGGACTCTTGACGAGCAACGGCCAAGCTTTCCGAACTCTCCACTTCGGTTTTCCGTTTGGTTTTGTAGCTTTTAAATCAAGTCGAAAAGGATTTTTTTTCTGTTTGAAGATCTGAGATCCCCGACATCACGAAGGGCAAGAGATGAACTCTTTACGTCTGTTCAAGCAGCAGCCAGAAGTTGCAGTCAACTCCAAACCGAGACTCATTGAGGGTTTTTTTTTTTCTTGTAGTTTTGGGGGCAGGTTGGGTTCAACCAATCAGTGCGAAACAGTCCAGCTCATGTTTATTTGATTCTCGGTACACAACTTGCCTTTCAAAGGCACCTGATCTCAGGTTTTCAGTGTCTGTGATTCAACAGTATTGGCAACTTGGGTGGGGGAAAAAAAAGTAGCTAATACACCTTCTCAGGGCTACTTCTCTTTCTTACACCACAATGCATCATATTCTGCTTCTGTAGCCAAGGACTGAACAAGCTGACTGATAAATGGGTGATAAATGCATTACATACAGTTCACACCATTCTAAGCTTCGTCCTCTTTTTGGACTTTAATGTTTCATTTTATCCACCAACAGGCATGTCTTATTTGTGTTTTGTTCTTGATTTTATGGGGTTGCGAGGTATTGCGTTTGAATCTTCGCTACATTTAGCTACTCTTTGACATTTGTTGGTATTTTAGTTGTCATTTATCCTTTTTCATTTTAAAGCTTTGTGGTGACGCTTTATTTGGAACCTAAAATCCTCCTCAGGAAAATGGACAAGACATTGGTGTGTTTGTGGCCGACCTCTTAACCCGAACAGACTCTTTAAACCCTTTCAGCAAATTCATATGCACACGGGGGTATTTTGGGCCACTTTCCCTTCTTGTTTGTACTTTGTTTTTCTTCTACTTTTTGTTATGCTTTGTAAATCTATTTAAAGTCTGAATAAAGATCTTTATTAGAATTGTAATACAATTATGTTGATAAATAATAAAATTAAATGAAATAATGAATTTTATATATATATATATATATATATATAATTTTATGTAATTATATATAAAACTGAGTTCCTGTATATTTTGGTAACACTGTCAACTGTTACCAACATACCAATTTTGCCACTAGAGTGCAGCAGTGGGCTTCTTATTGTTACGGTTTTGTTAGATTTATCATTCTCTAACCTAACCATAGCAAATAGGTTATGCACTTATCTACATGATTTTTATTTTTTTTTGAACATTTTTATGAACATTCTGGTAAATTTGCTGCATTTTATTCTAAGTAAAGCAGCATAAAATCAAGTAATGCCATTATGTCCTTTGTTATTGTTGCATATTTAAGTGTGGCAAAATGGATCATGACATGTCTATAGTTCTAAGTCCAAAATCACTGCCATCACAACATGCTTATGGCATAATTCCCTTCTATATGTGAAGTTAAAATGCCATACTTCATAGTACAGTGCAAGTTAAGAAAAGGCATATGCTATACAGCCATTCCATGAGAAAAAAATGGATGTGAAGGGTTAATTTGCATTTAAAAGGCATTGATCATAAGTGGTAGAGCTTTCATTTGAATGAAGAATGAATGGAGTTTGCTACAGCACTCATATGCCAAGATCTATCTTTTGACAAGATGTCACTGCAGTCTGGAGGTCTGTGGCTCAACTATGTCGACAGACCTGGCTTGAAGGTCAGCTAAACTGAAAGGTCTTTGATTGGAGGCACCACAGCATAAAGCACTGATGATCTACAGTATCCGATCTCTCCGTCCCAGAGCCGTTGTTCAAATTCACTGAGCCAGGAAAAAATCTGATACACTGACACTTGTCAATTGACACTGTTTTTAGTAAATCAGGGATGACATTTTAAAAACAGTTCCATTAAAAAATAAATGAAATTTTAATTAAAGGGGTGATATGATGTTGCTAAAAATAACATTATTTGGTGTAATGAAATGTGTTTATGCGGTTTAAGGTTCAAAAAACATTATTTTCCACATACTGTACATTATTGTTTCTCCTCTATGCCCCGCCTTTCTGAAACGCGTCGATTTTTACAAAGCTCATCGTTCTGAAAAGCGAGGTGTGCTGTGATTGGTCAGCTATCCAGTGCGTTGTGATTGGCCGAATACCTCAAGCGTGTGACGGAAATGTTACGCCCCTTACCACATTGTGATGATGCCCTGTCAGGCCGGAGCGATGATTCAAAAACATGAAAACCCATTATAAACGAGGCATTCGTTGCATCCAGTGGGGACATAATTATGGATTATAATGACTTGTACTGTCTTTTTACGCGTTGCGTTGCATCGCGCCGCGTAAACATAAAACCATGTCTGCATTTGTGATCGGAGAAATGACAAACAACAAGCCCTACTCTACACTGCCCAAAAACTCGCTTTAAACATAAAAAAATATAAAATATAAAAACTCTTTAAATATAAAAATACTACAGCGAGAATAAAAGTTACGCCTTCTTTCTTTGCGTGAACATTTGGCCGGCGTTATGCAAATCTTCCCACATAGTGACGTAGACATGTGGGGGCGTGTTAGAACGAGCCGTTTTAGGTAGGTGTGGCTGACTCTTAACTTTTATAAAGAATATCTCTTTGGATTTGAGACTTTAGTCTTTGCAACTTTACAGATCTTCTTTATGCACCAAGAGCTTGTAACACTCCAAAGAGAAAGGAAAAATTGAAATCGCATCATATGACCCCTTTAAAAGAAATCACAAACATTTATTAGTTTAAATAAAAAAAATAATGGGCATGAAATAAAAACTGAATTATAGACATTTTTATTACAATTTTAAATCCAGTAATCATAAATCACTTAAAAACTCATAAATGCATTGGTCAAACAGCGTCAGAAGCCTGTAAAAGGTTTTAGCTTATCTTGGAGGGCAAAAAACTCAACATATAACCACATTCTGTGTTGTGCCGAGACTTTGTGCTGCTTCTACAGGTAGAACTACTGCATATGAAGCATCCTTAACCCATTATAACAAGGTCTTGATTTCCAGACAGGAGTGTTGTTCTCACCCACTCTACGACTGTAGCGGATTGGCGGGTTGAGCGATTCAGACAAGAGGGCGATGGGAGAAACTTGAAGTCTCCCAGGAGGGTATGAGTGTGTCTCTGTCTCCAAGGAAACCAATGACGGGGAATGGAGTGTAACAAAAAACCCTACTGTGAAATGAGTGAGTGGTGTTTATTCCCTTCCACACCTTGCGTTTGTCAAAGAACATAAATGAATCCATGTGAGCCCTACATAACTTGTTGAACACTGAGTACTCTGGGCCTTTTGGCTGTCCACTTTTGACCTTTATTTTTTATTTTTTATAGATATTCCAGATTTTTATATCTGTCCAACAGAGCCATCTAACTAAACCCTTTAAATACAGCGACATGATTTATTCACAAGTCTGAAATCGTTACTTTTCTCAACTTGCCAAAGAGAGCTATGTGCTGATATCAATATTTTCATTAAATTTAAACATACTTTTTGTTTAGTTTCTCACATAATTATTGTATGGCATTACATGAGTCATATGGACTTAAATATATTTGTAGGTTTTCTGCATCATTTTTGAAGCAGTATTTTTTTTAAATTGTGCTCCTGAACAAAGAAGGTCATACCGGTTTGGAATGACGTGAGTAAATAATGACATAATTAAATTTTTGTGTGAGAGTACATGTCCATAACTCAATGTCTTATTCTATTCCTGGAGATCCAGCATCACCCCGGGGTTTCTTTCTCCTCGGGACACTATTTGGAACCTGTTCTATTTCTGCTCCTGTAAAAATCTATTTGTTGCCATAGATATGGCAAGGTCTCCAAGGAAACCAATGGTCAGATCGTGGCAGAAGATAGGCAAGTGATTTAAATTAAATTAAGTCAAGTGCTTTTGTGCTCTACTGACTTCACTTTTTCGGAACAGTCAATTTTAGCAATGACTGAGCAACTAACAAGCGATGATGGAGTAGCCTACCTATTTTGTGCATACTCTTCTGCAGTGTTGGGGGTAACGCATTACAAGTAACGCGAGTTACGTAATCAGATTACTTTTTTCAAGTAACTAGTAAAGTAACGCATTACTTTTTAATTTACAAGAAAATATCTGAGTTACTTTTTCAAGTAAGTAATGCCAGTTACTTTTTTTTCCCCATTTATTGATTGAATCTCTCCTGTCCCCATGTTGAGAGAAATCAGGAGTAAGATGTTACTTTAGTTCTAGAATAAATGTGAACATGCTTTAATTCATTTTGTATCTAAATAATACAAATATCCTTTATGTATTTAATCCCATTTTATTAACCAATTTGCTGCTGACCTTCGATGATCCAATTCAACAATATACAAGCAAGCCCAGCACAGATGTAAAAAGTAACGTAAAATGTTACTTTCAATAAAAAGTAGCTAAGTAATGTGATTGGTTACTTTTTTAGGAAGTAACGCAATATTGTAATGCATTACTTTTAAAAGTAACTTTCCCCAACACTGCTCTTCTGTGAGTACTACAGATCAACTTCAGACTTTACTGTCTGACTGAAGGCTACTTAAATCTGTTGCTATTGATAAAGCTAATTATATAAGCCAATTACAACGATGGCCAATAATTAATTAATCATTAGGAAATTGAACGATTCTGTTTCCGTTTTCTCGGTAAATGAATATAATCTAAATATTAAAATAATATTAATATAATATAATTATAATATTAATTATTATTTTAAATATTAATGATTACAACTCAAAATGTGTGTCTTTAACTACATGTTGTCATATGAACATCCAGAAACACTGAGAAGAATTAACAACCCTTGTTAATTCTCGGTTTATTGCGAGTCGGTTATGACCAAAGTGACACCTTGCGGTTCAGTGAGTCCGAATTCTGGAAACGCTCCAACTCGTGTGTTTTCGAATCATTAAAAAGAACCGACTCATATGAGTCATTTGTTCGGGAATCAGAATCGGTTATAGTGTTTTTGATTCACTATAAAGAATCAAATTTGAACCGGGTCACACTTGTAGAGCCTTAAATTCAGGAGTGGTGTGACAGAAGACAGAATATTAACTTAAAACACTTCGGAAACTTGTCAGTGTTGTGCACATTAAACCAATACGGGAACCGACACACATATAAAATAATTCCGTTCCTCTGTGGAAGGTTGTGAATAAGAGCTGGTTCTCGTTGCCGTCTTTTGTAAACCCAACTTGACGTTATTTTTAGGTACTGCAACATACATAGCCTATCCTCTTAACAATATTTGAAATCATGAGTCTTTTTTTTTAAACAGGCACTGTGTGTGTTTTTTAAAACCCAGCATTCGGTCTTGTTTGTTTAAAGTGCTCGGTTTCTCTGAATCGATACATCTCTAATCGGAAGAGCACCGTTTCCTTTGATTGGTTCGTTCAGGCGCGCGTCTGCAGTATATAAGCGCAACAGGCGACCTGCGGATCTGAACCTCTCTCAGCGCAGCCTGTGAAAAGAGACAGCACACACACTAATGAACACTGTGAAGGTGAATACTGGGTGAGGATTCGCAGAGAGGAGGAAAATCATTTGCAAATCCAGTAAGTAATTTACTCTTAATGCAACAGGTTTAAACGTTTACTTTCCTTAAACTTAATTTTAATGAACAATTGAAAAATAATAATAATAATAATAAAAAAAAAACTATGTTAGACGGTGAATATTAATGAGGAATGACTGATTTATTTTACATTTCAAAAAGGACAGAATTGAGATATTGAAGAAAAGCTTTCACATTAAAACTCGTCATAAGATGCTGTCTTTGTCTTGTTTTCTTCTAGTAAATTAATGTAGTTGCAAACAAGTTAAAATACACACTTAAGATGCATTCACTGTCATTTTCTGTGTGGGTTCAGTACAAGCACTTTTGAAACTGTGGTTACCCATTTTTTTCTGTTGTAGATGAACAGCTTGTGAGGATGTTACATATTAAATAATAATAAAAAAATTCTGCTGATTCAGATTATGACATTTTTATATGAAAACACCACTGACAACAGTGTAATTTTTTTATGAATTCTGTAAAAAAAAAAAAAAATTTGGCAGGTTTAATTTTAATGAGTGTCAATTGTCAGAGTAGTGCAGTGCAACCTGTTGCCATTCCTGTGAATTCAATCTCAGTTTTGATATGTAAATAATATTAATTAAAAATAAGTAAATAATATTAAATTAACAGTTTGTCTTAACCAAACATTTTTAGCAAGATTAATTTAGTTGTTTTCAGTTCTGGTCTGAAGTACCCCAGACTGCATATTTTGGATGTCTCCCTTATCTGAAATGTCCAGTGAAGGTCTCTTCAGAGCCTCTGTTAATGAGCTGAGGACATTAAGCAGGTGTGTAACATAAGGACAAAATGTCCAGTGATTGGGTACTCCAGGACCAGAACTGAGAACAAAAAGGGAAAAAAAAAAAATCCCTGAACAAGGAATGTCCAGAGAAAAAAAAAAGTTGGATTTTTCTTTGTCTATAGTCAAAGTTTTTCAAATATCATTTGAGTTGTTGATCTAAATCATGTACACTTGTTATTGAATTTTTCAGATAATTTGATTTAAAGGCAATTTAGTACAAAATTTCGTAATCAATAAAAAATATATTTTATTTAAAAATGTATTCAATATGAACTTATTAAAAATTGATTTCTAACATTCTAAAAGAAATGCCATCTCACACCAAGTCTATGAACTGTAAATGAACTTCATGTGCTAACATAGTTTTTTTTTCAAGTCTAGAATGTTGCACATATGCAAATGAAGGGGGTAAGACTTAAAGGGTTACTCCACCCCAAAATGAAAATTTTGTCATTAATCACTTACCCCCATGTCGTTCCAAACCCGTAAAAGCTTCGTTCGTCTTCGGAACACAATTTAAGATATTTTGGATGAAAACCGGGAGGCTTGTGACTGTCCCATTGACTGCCAAGTAAATTACACTGTCAAGGTCCAGAAAAGTATTCATTTTGGGGTGGAGTATCCCTTTAAACCTCCACCCACCTCACAAAAAAAAGGTGGAGGAATCTTAATCGGTTTTCACCTAATGGTAAATAGATGATTGGAAACAGAATGTTCGTATTTGCCTGAAGAGATAACCATAGCAACAGTGCGCTGCTTAAGCACTTTTCATAATAGGATCATTATTAGATGGAAAGAATATTGACAAAACATTCGATTATTCATTTACTTACTAAAATATCACTAAAAGGTTAGTGTTTGTGTTTGTAAAATGTTTAAATACAGTTTGGTCATGTAAGATTCATTTCACAAATTGAATTTGCAACCTTCAAAGTCCCCCTTGAAAGATGTCACCCTACAAATGGCTGCAATATAACAAAGAGTGAAAAATTGAAGGGGGTCTGAATACTTTCCGTACCCACTGTATGTGGGACAATTGTTCATGATATAATAGTGCATTGTTGTTGTAATGGTCAATTGTAAGTTATTAATAGCTGTGCATACTTAGAGCTCATTTTTTGAATGTTCTGTTGCTTATGGTTACAGGCATCAACCAGCGGGTTCAGCCCAGAGGGATCATGTGGGTTCTGGAGAAGATCCGGGACTCGGTCGAAACAAATGTGCTCCACCAAGGAGAGGCGGGTGACAAAGGGAAGGCACCTGTCTATAGCAACGTCCTCACACCTGATAAGATTCCAGATTTCTTCATCCCCCCAAAGCTGGTAACCTGCCCACCAGAGACCGAAGCTACTGACGTCAACTCCAAAGAAAGTCTGAGACCCTCAACATCAGAGCAAACCATCAGCAACAAGAAGATCAGCAGTCCTCGTAGCCCACGATTAGTCAGCAAGTTGGCAGGAGACACCAAGAACCTCCTTAGGGCGGCTAACCGCCACATCATTCAGATCGAGAGCGCGGATGATGTCGTAGCAGGCGACACCAACGCCGACCCTCAATCCCAGACTGCCATGTCACTTCCTTACATTCCAAAGACTCAGACTTCTTATGGTTTTGCCACGTTGATGGAGAGTCCCCACACCCGGCGAAAAGAGTCCCTGTTCCACTGCGACCACACCAGTCCAGTTACGTCACCCAATACCCAACGCAAGTCCCAAGGCAAGAGCAGCAACGAGGGGAATCACCTCAACCCTCCGGACTTCAGCACCTCTCACATAAACCCCTACCGATACTTCAGCGGGGGCGAGAGCGACACTTGCTCTTCGGCAGAGTCGTCCCCGTTCAGTTCGCCACTGCTCTCTCGTTCTGCCTCTTTACTGAAGATCTTTACCCATGAGACACAGGCCAAGGTCGCCAAAGGCAAGCAGACATTTGCCAGGCATAGTTCCTTATCTACAGACGAATGCAGCTCGGCGGAGCCCAGTCCTAATGTTCCTAGACGGAGCCACTGCTCCTCCTTGCAAGGTGGTGGAGCTCTGGACCATCTTCATGGTTCGGACCGTCAACACAAGGAGCACACCATCAACATGCACAAAGGAGGCACCATCCGACTTTGCGCAGACTATGATGCGGGTACAGCCCGTCTTCGAATCCGCATTATGGCGGCCGAGGACCTGTATGATCCTATATTTGACATTAAGAGTATCAACTGTTGTGTGTCACTCTACCTCAATCCAGGCAAGTTGCAGAAGCAGAGGAGCACGATAATCAAGAACAGCCGCAATCCCATCTTCAACGAGGACTTCTTTTTTGATTCGGTGACTTCGGCTCAGGTTAAGAACCTAGCTCTGAAGATCAAGGTTGTGAATAAAGGCACTAGCCTGAAAAGAGACATGCTGTTAGGTGAACGGGAGGTCCCTTTGTGCAAGCTCTTGTCTGGATTTTAGGCCTTCAGAATGGGACGCTGTCTTTAAAGGTGGAATAAGGTCTTCTATACTAGATATTTGCTTTGTTGTTTTTCATGTAGCCTGATGCGGTGGTTAATTTAGTATTTACAGATTCAGAAACGACAACCACCACCTGCTCAAGATCAAGGTATTAGCATTGCTCTGAATTTGTTGCCTGTAAATATAGAAGAGTCTATGACCAAGTCTTTTTGTATGTTTCCTTCCGTATTTTGGTTGTTCTACGCATTTAGCCTAATTAAGACCAAGCGTTTACATTTTTGATTGTAAAGACTCCACAGACCTGCAGTCCTTTGAAGCTGCTCAATGGCCCTCTGTGCTAATGTTAGCTTTGATCCTAGATACATCTGCTGGCTAGTTTGGAGGACAAATAACCAGAGTGTACAATGTTGCGTCACACTGCATGTGTCGGCGTCAGACTTTGGCGTAAACTTGTAAATGCGATGTATTCTTGCAAATGTGCAGAATGTCATTTGGTGAAACCCAAAAGCCTTACTAAAGAGCGATTTTTGCATGTTTAGATTTGCTCAGACTGAGCATCGTTATCTGTATCTATTTGTTGGATATCATATAAAATGAGTGTTCTGGCTTGAACACTTTGCCAAAAGCCTTTTATGAAACAGGGTCATATGAAATGCTTTCTTTGAAAATCTTTCCATGCACACTACTTGCCCAGAGGAAAGTACCTAGTAAAATATCAGCTAACATTAATATTATAGGAAGATCTGAATTCCAATCCTGTAGCCAAAAATGTAATGGTCAAATTTATATGGTAAAATTCAGTAAAATCATATGGAAAGAAAACTGAAGTGTATATGCTGCATGTGCCATTATGCAAATGAATGATCTGATGTGCATTTTGCCTTTTCAACAGATTGAAATCGTTTGAATAGAAAAGTGGTTGAAATTAGACACGAGTATGATCATGAATGGATGGATGTATGGATCTTTCCTTTCTGGCTTGAGATATTGTTATTTATTTTTCTGATAAAACAAGACTATTAAATTATTGGAAAGAATATCTAGCCTCATTTGATGATTCATATTAAATTACATAAATTTAGTAAGCGTTTATTTCCTTTCTGGCTCCACTTTGTAGATGAATAGCAGCAAAGGCATTTTTGAGGTAATGAGGCAGCTAGTACTCATTAAAATGCTAACAAAAAAAATGGCCCTATTGAAACTAACTAATAGCCGGTTGGTTACAAAGGCGATGCAGGGAATGGACAAGAACATATATTTATGATCTCTGGATTGTGCAGTAATTATTTGAGTGCAAAAAGCATATGAAGCTTTTCATTTATATTCAAGTGTTTCATTAAGTCTTTAATGTCCTAAACCACTCGAATGCTGGAGTCTTCCTGTTTTAACAGGTGTTTTTTACAGTGCCAATCCTATGTACTTGATGTAGAAGTGATCTGTTCACCTGGTGTTTAGTGTGATTTGTTCACAGTGGATCCCGTCAACTCTGGTGTTTGTAATTTGTGTGCATGGATAATATTTTCACTGTGGTAATCAACCTATAATATTTTTTGAAGTGTGAGCTGTTTGATGGAGATCTCAGTGTCATTTTTTCTGCACCTCTGCATGGATGTTCAACTGGTGTATTTGTATCTTAAATGGACAGCTGGATGGTTTTGCAACTAATAATAAAATAAGAAATAATAAAAATAACCCATTTGTGGCCATTTTGCTTTTTTATTTTAATAGTTTGATCAATGTACTGCATTTTGTATACGAGTAAGGATGGTGACGTTGAAGTCTCTTTAGTTATTATTATTAACTACACATGATTTGCGGTAATGTTTCATATGTGGATAATGAATTTATAATAAGGAAGGAAAATAGACTTTTCAGAACGTTCCAAATGCAGATGTTAGTATATCCATATAACTGATATATTAAAATATCAATATCAAATCAAGGTGGTGTAGCATTTGGACCAATCAGACACACATTTGTTCATTAGATTTAAGAAATCAATTATTCATTAGATTAACAAATAATCACAGACCTCTCACCCAATAAACATACTGGGTGCCAGCATATCTTGGAATGACCCCAGGCCCCTGGTTACCATGGCAACCAGGACACCTCAGCCAGACCAGATAAACTTTACGACCTAATGGCATGTTGAGAGTTCTCCCTCTCACCATCTTTCAACCATAGGAAAAACATAATGCCCATAAAAATTGACTCTTCTCTAATTCATAGGAAAACCTTTCTTTGAATGAACACACATATCCTTCAGGTCATTGTGTATGTTGTTACTGTTCTTGTATATTGTCTTTTGTATTGTATACTGTTTTATGCATGCTTATGATAGAACCACTCGTTCATGTAATTTTACCTATATGTAATCTTACCATGTTTAGTATCTATGAATTCGTCTTCTGATGATCTAAACGAGAGTGTATATTATATGTTGGTACATAGGCAATATATTAGTGTTCTAAGAATCTTTAGTAGTTTT